GAACTTTTAAGGAAAACTATAACGGTTAAGACATTTTTTTAAATTTCTTGGTGTGGACCACAATCGCAATTTACGATCAAAATACGATAATGTGTTAGATATACCTCTCTAAGATTACTTGGTAAAACCTGGGGTCTTGCACCAAAAATCACAAAATGGCTTTACACAACCATAATCAGACCACTCATCACCTACGGTGCAATAGTTTGGTGGCCTAGAACCGAACTTAACCCGCAATTAATAAACTGCAGCGTTTTCAAAGACTAGCATGCTCTGCTATAACAGGCTGCATGAAATCCACACCCACAAATGCCCTAGAAATAGCGCTCGCCACTCGACCTGTTTATACAACAGGAAGCAACTATGGCAGCGCTAAGAATGTATCATCTGGGCTTGTGGACGGAAAACCAGGGACCTCACTCCAAAATTCTGGAAAGGGCTATACAATACCAACCTATGGTAACAGCCCGCTGTGATAAAATCCCGAGTACTCATACATTTGATAGAAGATATCAAATGGAACTACTAGAAACCAACAAGGACTGGTCGGGCACAGACGAACTACGCATTTACACTGATGGATCCAAAATACCAGGATTCGGATCAGGCGCAGGAGTCTTCTCACTGGACCTTAACATCCATACATCAACAGCACTGGGTAAACACAGCTCAATATTCCAATGTGAATGTATAGCCATTACTCAGGCCGCCACCGCTGTCATTAATAGGAAAGTCAAAAACTACAAGATACGTATATTATCTGATAGTATGGCTGTCCTAAGAGCCCTAGATAGTAACAGCAAAACTTCTGGGCTAGTATACGAATGTCACCTGGCATTGGAGTACATAGCAACGGATAACAAGGTTATCCTCCAATGGATCAAGGGACATAGCGGTTCTGTGGGTAATGACGCAGCCGACGGGGATCATCACAGAAAGTGGAAGGCCCTGAGCCACTTCTGCCATTACCTTTCAATCAGTTTCGTACATGGGTGCGGCAACGAACCACACAGAACCATAACACCCGTTGGGCGAATACCGAGGGCTGCAGGCAATCTAAGGATATTTTTCCCAACCTCAACCCCAGACTAACTAGAAAACTACTAAATCTTACCGAAATGATCTCCGAGTAATGCTAGGCACCATAACAGGGCACTGCCCACTTAACAAGCATTTACTAACCATACGCGTTACAGATAGCTCTCTATGCAGAGGATGTCTGGAAGCAGATGAAACGGTCGCTCATGTGTTCCTGGAATGCACGAGCGTTGCAAAACACCGGGCATCAATCCTCAGGAAGCCGAGGACGCTCCTAGAAGCCTGTGAGAGCCCCAGGAGGCTACTGCGCTTCTGGAAGGAGCTGGGCTGGCTGAGCTAGCTAGCCCAACATACCCTGCACGCACAGTGGACCAAGTACGGAGTCTACGTGCGGAAACGGGGGCCCACAACAAGTAACAAGTAGATACCTCTCACTCGCTCTGAGTATTATATGGACTCATTTACGATTAAAGCTGCGCAACTTTGGAACAACCTTCCGCCTGAGATTCGTCACGCAAAGTCAATTGTCATTTTTTTAAATATTCTCCATGATTTTCTCCTACTTAGGTCCTAGTCTGTTGTAGCTATAAATATATAATAATGCAAAATATGTATGTGTATAAATCATATTATATATACCTACACAAATATATATTTGTAAAGGTATATGTTATTTACTTGTTTATAATCTTTATATGTTCAAGAAAATATGTTTGTTTGTTTGTTTTATCTTGCTGGCATACTGCAAATTCCTCTTCGTTTAGCTATCCTTTACCGCAAAGGTTGTCTGGAAGAGATCGCTTAAAGCGATAAGGCCGCCTTTGTCCGCATAATGGTATTGTTTACTTTTTTGTATTCTTTTGTGTGTGTGCAATAAAGAATTTATTTATCTATCTGAGACGGATTTGTTGGTTTAAGAGTTATTGTGTTAAACACTTTTTTTAACTATTGAAAATTCCTAATTTTGACACACAATTTTACATTAATAATGACATAGATGAAGTTATTGTAGCGTAAAACCCTGCATTGCAACAAAATCTAAAAAAACACTATTTAAAAACCACAAAAAAATATCATTAGTGCCACAACGCCACCGCGAATACAACGGCTTCTAAGTCGCGCTAACGTTACGTTTTTATAAAAAACTAGCTGACCCAGCGAACTTCGTACCGCCCTAAAAAAATAGGGGTTGTCCAGCGGACAAAATTGTGAATCTAAACCATTCTCAGATCCCCTTGAACACACACAAAAAATTTCATCAAAATCGGTCCAGTCGTTTAAGAGAAGTTCAGTGACATACACACTCACAGAAGAATTATATATATAAAGATATATAATCACTTGAAAAGATCTGCGGTTATACAGCATCATCCCCTTCTCAGGGGATGATCGCTTCGGACGAAGCTTTTAGTAAGCAAAAGTTTGACATAACCTTACAGCCGGCTGTAGGGTATCCGTGAGGATTTCACAACCACTCTGCCACCTGGGAGGAAACAAAAAAAATCGGCGGTTCCCACTTATAATATCGAGTTTATATTGATTTTGAGAAGCAATTTGACTTTCATTTAGGTATTTTAACAGAGATACATAGATTGATATCGCTTGGTTTTTGTAATTTCCGATATAAAAATAAAGAATCCTGCTCATATACACTGTGGTAACTACAGGCAACTACGGAACCCCACACTGAGCGTGGCACGACACGCACTTGGCCGGTTTTATAAACAATATATAAACATCATCATCATCATCTCAGGGGATGATCGCTTCAGATAAAGCTTGTAAGGCCCTTTGGGCCATAAGCATGAACTACGGTTGTGTTTTAGTCAGTAGGAGTCTGACATAACCTTGCAGCCGGATGTAGGGTATCCATAAGAATTTCACACCTGCTGCCCCGCCTGGGAGGAAACAAAAAAATTGGCGGTTTTCATACTAAAATCGAATTGAGTTGGAGGCGCAGTTTGACTTTGATTTAGGTAGTTTCGTTGAGATACATAGTTTGATATTAATTGTTTTTTTTTCCGATACAGAAAAAACTCTCCTGCTCAAATATATTGTGGTAACGGACGACATGCCTGTCGTTAAACTACGGAACCCTACACTGCGCGTGGCTCGACACGCACTTAGCCGATTTTTAAAAGTAATTTAGAATCAACCAGTTCTCTATATTGAACATGTAAGTATAATCTGGGCAATTGGACAATTAAATAGTGTGAACATTTTTGATAGTACCTACTTCCTTATCCTACAAACATATTTTTTGTTGTTTTCAAACACGGGCAGAATAAAAATATACATATCGAAATGACGTGCAGGAAGGTCTCATGTTTTTTTTCAAGAATTTATTTTACCACCTTGTGCTTATCTAATCATATATAGGTATATTTAGGTATGTGTCTCCTACATAGATTTAAAGTTAATGCTATTTCAATATTTTATATTATAATAATAATAAACATTTCTTACGCTAAATTCTACTATACGAGTACATAATACGTTAAAAACAAAAGCTCTTAACTTGTTAAGTCATATTTCTTAATATTTATAACAATATTATGTCTATCCAATAAAGATCAAGGCCGGCCATTGATTTGTACCAACTTTGTTGTAACTATATCCACTTCTGCTGATAATAATGTTATAAGTTCGGTTAATAGTATGTTCCATTATTACCATCATCAGCCTATAACTTAGTCTTTTCTCTAGCTGGATAGGGAGAATAGCAATAATTGTAAAGTGCATAAAAGTAGGTAAACTATAAGTATACTTAATTTAAAAATCTCGTGAACTTTGGAAACTATTAGCCGTTGAAGTTTTAAAAATAGCACCCTAAATCGAAAAAGAAAAGGGACTAAAGGCAAGGGGAATCCAAGAAAATAAAGCTAAAAACAGAAAACAGAATAAGAGGCATCGATCAAGTTAAAAATCATTTCATCATTCAAGCCTATGTGGCAATGCCTTCCTTAAAATACCGTTGCCCTACAAATGCAAATCTTATGTGTGGACGCCAGATTTTTTAACTTTTTTTTTTTGAAGCGTTTGTCCGATGACATTGCAGCTCCATCAAAACAAACTAACGGGTACCGAACTACTTAATTCACAATTATTAAAATGATTATATTAGATTTATTACTTGTGTAATTTACTGGCCGCATTCCACTTCCACTAAACTACACAAGTACAATGCTGCTTCAGATTCGGGTTTGCTCAGAACACTCTGAACAATCTCTATATCGAACTTATTTATTTGAAACTATGGAAATTATTGATATTTCCTACTAGATGTTTCAAGTATGTAACATTCAGCCAAAGACAGATCAAAGTAAAAATAAATAAATATATACTAGAACAATAAAGCTAAAAACCTTAATAAATAAATAAATGAAATATAGTTACTAAAATACAATATTAAAAGAAGTCCCTTTAGGCAAGGTTCCGAAGATACTGGCAGCGTTCCCCCTTTGGATAGCTAGACTAATTCTTTGTCCGAGGTAGCTGCCAGCTCTTTAGTTTCCTGTGATGTCGACTAACCTTTTTGCTATATCCATCCTTAAAAAGCCTTAAAACTTAGTTACAAACATGTATCTTGTACATCACATTTCATCAAAAGATGATGCACGTCCTCAATTTGTTGACGTATTTGATGCCAGATTTTAAAAACCTTCAGTATTTTTTCCTTAATTTCAATACAATATGTTTATATTAGGCTCCCAAACAGAAAACACACTAAGTAATTAAAGTTAACAATCTAGTTAGTACCTAACGATACTCCGGAATTACATCTGTGTTTCGTGCTTGCTAAAATAAATCCGGATTTGTGTAAGAGACGTTACAACAAAAATAACTCGCATTGGCCAAGCTTGGGAAGTGCTAGTAACAATTTTTCAAGGACACCGATTCCGTGTCAATAATCTCTTTATATATTTCATGGTCATATATTTTCTGTATAATAATATACCTAACTCAATTCCTGCCAATATATAAAATCAACAGAAAACTACGCATGGTTGCTGTTGTTTCTGAACATTCGACAAACACAGATCACGATCAAAATGAAATTTGTGGTAAGTTTATATAACGAATAACTTACAACTGTCTTTGAAAGTACTTACATTATTTTTTCTATCTAAATGTTTATACTAGAACAAATGTAACTATCACAGTAATGCCATTAGCCTTCTTAAAGACAATATACCTGTCCAGCTTATCCTACTCTAACTGCCGTGTCTAAGTTATCTTCATACAAATTTTAAGTTTGATTCAATTAAAATTGATTATGGTTCTTCCGTTTTGGTGATAACAGAAGAATTACTTTCCTTGTGCCATTTTACCTATGGTTCAGAATTACTGTCTTTATGTTACCGAGAGGATAAATTTGTTTGGTGTAACATGGTTAAATATCCCATACATCCAGGGTAGATTACTTCACTTGGGAAGTAATCCCGAATTTGTCACGCTGAAGACCAAAAAACCGTACCTTGAGCTGAGTAGACGATTGATTGATGATAACTGGTGATTTATTCATAATAGTTTTCGTGTGTATGTGAAGGATTATAATTATCACATTATTATATATCCTAGGTTTTAGTTAATTTTGTAAGCAAAATATGTTGATGTAACAGCTACAACATAATTAAAATAAATATTTATTTCTGTGTCAGGTACTAGCTCTCTGCGTATACGCCGTAAGCGGCGCCACCATCGGTAACACCGCTTTCCGTCCCTGGCAGAATCCTGCCTTTGTAAGAACTACACAAACCGGAGGTTATGCCAAAGCGACAGCTCAAGTGTCTGTGCCAGCCACCCAGGTTGTTCAAGAAACAGTCGTCCCAGCCGTCGAAGTAACCAAAACTGTCGTGGAACCCGTTCAAAAGGTCGCCAAAGTGGCTGTTCCTGTAGTGCAACAGACCAAAATCGCCACTCCAGTCGTTCAGTCCCGTGTCGCCGCAACCGCAGGAATTACTGGAAAATATGCTACTCCTTACGTGCCGGTTGAAGGTGTAAACAAGGATGTCAAGGCTGAAACGCTGCGATCGGAGACCGAAGTTTTCCCGGATGGCTTCCAATACACGTGAGTCGTCTGTTATTTAATGAATAAATAAATCAACTATAATTTATCTATATAACTATTTAAAAAATCATCACTGATATAATTATATACTTTACTATAAAAACAGCTTCAATTTGGATACGTTTTAAATTTGGTATACGGTTATTAGTTTGAATCCCGGGAAAAATTACATAGAATAGTTTTACCACAGAAACCCCAGCAGAAGTCGTGGGCACCCACAATTATTACAAATGTGAAAGTGTCTGTCTGTTACCTGCTCATGTTTAAACCACTGAACCGAATTAGGAAATAAATTTTCTCATACAGACGAAGTTGCGGGCACTAGTAAACATTATATAATACAGATATCGTTTTTATTGTGCATTCAGATAATAACCTTTTATATAACATTTTTGAAAAATCTGTGATATTATTTTTCAGTTATGAAACCTCAAACGGCATCTCCGCTGCTTCCAATGGTGAATTGAAGAAAGTTAACAACGTTGATACGCTAGTAAGCCTGTTAAACATATTAAAAACCGGTTAAATGTGAATCTGATTAACAAACGAAGGGTTCCGTTACACAAGACAATACTTAAAAAAAGATCGAAGAAAAGAATTAGAAAAATATGTTTATATTTATTACTTTGTTTATTTTTTGACGAAAGCGACATCATCAGTATTATGTGTTCGGTACAAAATTTCCAATACTTTTTTCCTTTCAACGGAAAGGGTTTCGTTTATTATATAATCTTTGGTAGGGAACCCTAATAAACTTGTCACTATGTATCACCCTTCCACCCTCTAAACGGGTTACTGCAATTCAGATTTCAAGTTTTCACTTTATTACTAATACAAAGCTTTTCAAGTAAGCATTTTTGGAGCAGAAATGTATTTATTATAAAATGTTGTACTGAAAAACAGTTTTTTTAATGATAAAACGGTGGCGTTCCAGCGTATTCCCGACTGATGGTAATTATGCGGCCATCATAGCTAAGACTCTCAGATGCCTGGACCGAGTGTCTGTTTAGATTTATGAATCCAGCAGTTTTATACTTTAATATTAAACAATACCACAATATATAGAGTATAAATAAATAAATTAAATAAATAAATAAATTAGTTTATCAATTATTTCATGATATATTTATTTGAGTATTAGTAATAGCATAATATATATTTTACTGTGTCCAGGTTGTGAGAGGACAGTACCAGTACGTGTCCAGTGAAGGTGTTCCCATCACCGTGACCTACATCGCTGATGAGAATGGATACCAGCCACAGGTAAAATATAAGAAACAAATACTTTTTTTTGTTAAAAGGATGGTGAACAAACATTTGACGATTTTCGTGGTCGAGTGGTATGTACGCCGGGTTTCAAGGTGTGGCCTACTCAAGAGGTCGAATCCCTGTGGGGACAGATATGTGTGTGATGAATACGAACATTTGTACTCCAGTCAGGGATGTTTAATATATATATTCTCTCCGTTATCCTAGTATCCCATAACACAAACCTACAATGTTTACTTTGGGGCTAGGCTAATTGGTGTGAGTGTTGGATATATTTATTTTATTTATTTATTATGGGCCCCTGTTGTTAAGCTGTCGCCATAGAGGCTAGCTATACCAAAAATATCACTCGCGCCGTTGTTACCTACCCTGACCCAATTGCCTACCCCATGGTACGGCAAACTTTTGGCTCTACGTACCGTATGTATTTAACAGTACGTAGGTACTGTTGATGTTCCCAGACGATAGCGAACTCCTAACTCAAAGAGAAAAGAAAATATCGAGCCGTAATAAGTAATGAAACAGTTAGTAATACAATGACAAAAAGAAATAAAAGGTATTATTGTAATAGCTGTGCTTATTTCATGTCGCAAATTGAGTTATTTTGGGAGTAATATTGGTCAATTTTACCTATTGACTTACTTCTTGTCGCGAACCGCATACCGCCAAATGGTGAATCCCTAAGGGTTCCCGAAACACATCGTAACCTTACTTACTACGTATAAATGTACTTATTGAATTCTAATGATGAGTTATTTATTTATGTATATATATATATATATATATGTATATATATATATACATAAATAAATAATATATATATATATATATATATGTATATATATATATATATATATTGTACGCATAACATAGAGCACCACAGAAGCTTTTTTTTTTTCATTTTTATTATAGGGAGTTTACCCAATAAACTCATGAGTAAAACAAACCATGCTACAAACATTTTACATAAAATTTTCCCCCGCAGAGTGACGTGTTGCCCGTTGCACCTCCTGTACCAGTGGCGATCGCCCGCGCGGTTGAATACCTCCGCACCCATGCCCCGAAGACTGAAACCGTCAAAAATTACTGATTTCCCAAAACATCTATACCAACAATAACTAGGCGAAACAAAATTAAAAATCAAACGACGACTAATGCAAGTTAGATAGGACTCCCAAAAGATTTAGTTTGATGAAAAAGTGTTACGAAATAACAGAGTTTTTACTTATGATGTAAATAAATGATAAGAAAATTATAACCAATGTGTTTTTTGTAACCACTTTATAAATAGAAGCATTTTTAATGATTCCAAATCTTTAAAGAGTACATGTTTAGGTTTTATGAAAATTTTGTTGGATTTGAAATTTGCTTTATATTGTTTTAAACTTTCATGGTCACTAACATTATAGTTATTAGCAAGATTGCTACCACGTACCTTGGTTATTGTGCGTCTCCGATATTTTGGTACTGTTGCAAGCGCCATGATCACATAGTAACTGGATATTCACAAAAAACAATATCAGAGATTTACAAAAAACAAGTTATATTGTAGTAATCCCGCTAATAACTATAATGATTTTTTGTACTTCTCTTTATTTTCATTACATTTTGTATGCATGTACTTTTCCCGAATTAACAATGCCAAGTTGCTACCCTATCGTCTGAGTTGTTTCCAAAATTTTAGTTTCCATTGATAGTCTCTTAGTATCAATTAGCTTGCTACATATATAGTGATCTGTGGTATCAATTCTATAGTATCGATGCAGATACAGAGAAGTTAACAGCTGACATGTTCTATTTTTTCTTTCATTGTGACTTTTATGGTTAAGTAAAGGGGAAAGAGTTTGCATTGTTCGATGCATTTTTCGTTTACTGTAATGGTACCAAACAAAACGTACTGTATGCGCTAATTCACCGTGTTCAAAGTAATGTGTAGGAGTAATGATAAATATCAAAACTGTTAAAATGAGTGTCAGTTTTGTGCCTAACTCAAATCGCTCTATGCTGCTGCAGATACAGGTCAAACCAAAAAACATATACATTATTCCAGTGTATGCTCCTACATCAGACACCACTGATCAAGAAATTAAAAGTTTTTATGAAGAGCTAGAGCAACTACTTGCCTTATCTAAACGCCACGATATCAATGTAGTAATGAGCGATATGAATGCAAAAGTTAGCATGGGAGAAGTGGCAGCGTATTAGGAAGAAGTGTGATGAGCAACTGGCTGATAGTCAGTTTGGTTTCGTTCCGGTGTGGGTACTAGAGAAGCTGTTTCGCGATGCATGTTCTACTTCAAAAATGTAGAGACATGAAGCATGTTATGTCGGGAAGTGTTCATATGCTTTGCCGGTTACGAAAAGGCATTTGATAGAGTTGAACACGATACGATTTATCGCACTTCTGAGAGATATTGGCCATGATGATAAAGACGTAAGAATAATTCAGAATCTTTACTGGAACCAGCGCGCTAAAATTCGAGTTGAGGAAATAGACTCCAAAGAACTTGCTATCCAAAGAGAAGTTAGACAAGGATGCATCTTGTCCCCTATGTTATTCAATCTTTACTCAGAGGCTATTACGGCTACAGCGATTGAGGATATCAACTGTGGTATTAAAATCAATGGACGCGTAATCAATAACCTTTATTAAGCCGATGACACAGTACTTCATCGGTGACAGAGGTTAATTGAGAACTTCGGAGATTTTGTGTGATTTCGTTTGAAATTCGTGATTTCTCGAAAACCGGAAGTGCTACGTTACTCAAATCCGGTTTGTAGTCTTATCAGACTATTCTTAACTTATAACTTAAATATTCTCTTTATCTATCTCTTACGGTTTGGCCGCTGAAACAGCACCACAGACAGACGGACGGACTTGTCTAATAGATAAGAGATTATGCCATTTGAGTTATATGAACAAAAGACGGCGTAGTCTTAGCTTATTCGTCGTTGATTAATAAAGGGGCAAAAGAGGAAGTCAATACCTGCCAATATAAAATATACATTCGTTCTCTCTCTCTCATTGTCGATGTATAAAATAAACAGAAAACAAATCTGGGTATCTGCTACTTCTGGAAATTCGACGAACACAGACCTTGATTAATCAAAATGATGTTCATGGTAAGTTTTTTTAAACCGTATAATTTATGATTAGGTAATTGAGTTGATACATCCATAGCTTTGTACCTTGAATTAACCTTGAATATTACAAACACTTATTTTTGTAGTAGAAAATACATAGATTGTTAGATATCCTACTCTTACAAACGTCTCTGAGACGGTAACTTACTTTTAATTTAATTAAAACCGATGCTGTAATTAAAAAAACGCATGATTTTATGAAACATAAGCCCAACTGTTGTGTTATAATGTCACAGAAACCATACAAATCATTATAGAGTAAATGATGGATTTAAGGTGAATAACTGAAATATAACCGTCTATCTGAATCTGACTTTTTTTAATATTAGCATAATAATATTTACGGACTCTTGAGCACAATAGTTAAAAACGATCACGAAAAACTAAATACTTTTCTATAGTGACCCCAAGATATTTGATACAATTGTCGTTCTCTAACTCTACACAAGAGAGTTGGAGTAGAAAAAATAGACAGCAATTTTAGAGATTACGCCCAAAGTGCTTACACGTATCAAAAAGTTATATATATAGTTTTCCATGCATTAAAGTGACATAATATTATACTATAAATCCACATATTAACCACATCCTGTTTGTGCAGCCCGAATCACATCATTCCAGTTATTTGCTGAAAACATAAGAACCATACCATCTGCATGAAAAAATATTTTACCACGAGAGAGTTTAAGATAAGCTCATTCATTGATTTATATATGAAATAACGTAGGACCAAGTATACTACCTTAGAGATCCCATAATTTACTTGTTTGCTGTGACAAATACTAAAACAACTTTCAGACTTCTACTATCATCTGATTACTAGATAATTTTCTATTTTGTGAAGTTGAATTTTATATCGATCATATTCTCAAGCTTAGTTAGTGAGTGAGATATCGTAACAGTGTTGCCAGGTCTCCAGATTTTACAGGAGATCTCCTGTTTTTCTGATTTTTTTCCTGTTCTACTGTTTTTCTACATGAATCTCCTGTTTTTTCTTAGAATACGATTTTCTTTTTTAAATTGCATGTTGAGTTGCATTTTCGGCCATTAATAATGTAGGTAAAGTTATTAATTTTAAAATTAATGTTTTGTCTAAAAAAACTAGCTTTAATGGGCGGTAGAAGCCACAGAAACACATTCGTTACTGGTCTTTATTTTGATTTGATTTTCCAATTTTAGGGGGGGGGGGGGGGTGCAAATCGAAAAAAGTACGCATCTACTGTTTTTCTTGTAGCTCTTTCCATACTCTAAATTAGTTGCAAACCATTAAGTTTCATATATTTGCTAAATCAATCATAACATATGTATGAGAATGATTATAATTATAGTACCTATATTTTAATTGAAACCTAAATTAATGTTAGGTACATTACTTATAATATAATGTATTTGTTTCATATTAGACACATTAAATTTTAAAAAAAACTGTGCCAGGTACTAGCTCTCTGCGTGTACGCTGTAAGTGGTGCCACCATCGGTAACACCGCTTTCAATCCACGCCGAACTCCTGATGTTGTAAGAACTACACAAACTGGAGGTTATGGCAAAGCAACAGCTCAAGTTACTGTGCCAGCCACTCAAGTTTTTCAAGAAACAGTCAATCCAGCCATTAAGGTAGCCAAAGCTGGCGAGCAACCCGTTCAACAGGTCGCCAAATTGACTATTCCTATAGTGCAACAGGCCAAATTCTCCGGTCCAGTTATTCAGTTCCGTGTTGCTACAAACGCTAGGCAGTCTGGCAACAAAACTACTAACGTACCAGACATTAAGGCTGAAACGCTGCAATCAGAAAACAAAGTTTTCCATAATAGCTTCCAATATTCGTGAGTTGTTTGCATTTTATTCTATAAAAAGTCTACGATAATCTAAAGTAAATGATGAATAAATATAAATATACATAAAGCTTTGTTGCACTCAACATGTTTGTATGTGCTTAACTTCCCAAAGGCTGCGCCAAATTGGATAAATATTTTCTTTATTACTGTCATGACAAGATTCTAAGCAAGTCTTTTTTATGTAGTGAAATCCTGGTTTGACACAAAAAATGGTTTTACACTAATGTTGCATACGTATTTTCAGTTATGAGACCTCTAATGGCATCTCTGCCGCATCCAATGGCGAATTGAGAAAAGTTGACAACGCTGACTCTCTAGTAAGCATGTTAAACATTATTCTTTGACCCACTCGCAAGCGAAGGGTCTATAGTGTAATATTTAAAAACAGAATTAAGCAAAACTGGTCGAAAATTCATATTTATTTCATTATTATGCGGTCCACATATTTTAGAAAAAAACAAGTGTTTACTAATTTCTGATCATATTAGATTATACTATGTAGTTAAATGTTTTAGTGAAAGAGAGTATTGGATCATTGTTTAATGATATTTTATTTTACTGTGTCCAGATTGTAAGAGGTAACTACCAGTACGTGTCCCGTGAAGGTGTCCCCATCACCGTAACCTACGTCGCTGATGAGAATGGATACCAGCCACAGGTAAAACATAACAAACTTATACTTTCAAAATGTACTAATGGATATCTAAGGAAGAATTCTCAATTTATTATGAATATTGGTCGCTTTGTAATATATTATTTATTACTCTATGCTATGACTCACAATACCTAATGTTTTTCTTTTTGTACAGTTTTTTTTTTATTCTTTTTGTATGGGGCTTTAGCCAATAGGTAATGTAAAACCCATCGTACTACAAATATTAACATTAACTACATCCCATATGTGTATCTATGACATTAACAAACACAAAAAACGAGAATAATTACGTATATTACAATCTCTAGTTTGGGAACGAATAATGATTTCATATTTTTTGCTAAAATAAACTTTATATCAATCAAACAAATACAGAATTTGGAATATTTTTTTTTTATAAAACACTCCCTCTTGTGTTAGTTCTTATACAATGCAAAACAAGTAAGTGCTATAAGGTCTTGGACTTTACTATAGACAGGATATTTATTGGAGTCAGATTAATTCTTAAAAAATGATTTATAGTTGCGGGTTTTTTTTTTATTAACTAACTATTCTTTTCTCAAACCAAGTTTCACAAGGGTGGCGGACTTTCAACTGTCTTAAACTTAATCTTATAGTAAAACTAGCGGCCGCCCGCGACTTCATACGCGTGGAGTCAGCTAGAAATAAAGGTTCACTGCTCGTTCCCCGTAGGTGATAGCGTGATATGTTGACCCGACTTCTTAATAATATTCGTGCCAAATTTGAAATAAACCCATGCAGTGCTTTTTGAATTTATCCCGGACAAACATACAGACAAAAATTCTAAAAACTATATTTTTGGCTTCGGTATCGATTGTAGACCCAAGTATTCTTTTAAAAAATATTCAATGTACAGTTTTGACTTTCCTACCATTTTATTAGATAATGTATAAAGTTTCGTAATTTTATTTTCTCAGAGTGACGTGTTGCCCGTTGCACCCCCAGTACCAGTGGCCATCGCCCGCGCTGTTGAATACCTTCGCACTGATAGGCGGCCGGCGCTTATCGTCTTTTTAAAAAAAACCCAAAATTCCCGGATATGAATTTAATGATTTTTGATATACACAATTACACACGCGAACTCGAGTACCTAGTCCTGAGCTATCCGGATGGACCGTTCTTTCCCGTTGCCAAAGTCTAACTGCACTGTGGGAATTGATGGAATAATGTGAGGGCTGCGTTAATGCAACTCTGCAGTTTAATACTATGGAAAATTACAGTTATACACGTTTTTGTTGAATTAGCATTCTATGGTTGCTAAGTCGGGTTATAACAACTCCCTTTTAACGGAGCTTTATCGAAAATTAGGATGAAGCGGAGTTATAAAAATAATCAATGATAAGAGACAACTTCAGGATTTGGTAAACAGTTGTACATTATAAAACATATAAAAATACAATAAAAATGATTCCCAATAATATTACTCTAAGTAACAAACTCATAATAATTAAAATTAGAACTAAGATCTCATCTCATCGATGAACAAGATTTAGTAAGATAATTATAATAATGTAAAAATATTAAAAATTCAAATTTCTGGAACTAGAAATCCCCCCGACCATGTTTTAATAGCTACTAAATCCCTATTTAGAGCATCAATGGCTTCATTTAAATTGTCAATACTTGTCTCGGTATATAATTGCAAATCGTCAGCATATAGATGATACGAACACTGAAGTTTGTGAGTGATAAAATCAATAAAAGTTGAAAAAAGAAGAGGAGAAAGAATACCGCCTTGGGAAACACCAGTTTCCAGACTGCGCCAGGATGAGGAAGAATCCCCAGACTGGACCATCTGCTAGCGGTCCCGAAGATAAGATGAAAACCAAGTCAACACTTCGTCAGAGACCATAAGATGAGACAGTATAGAAAGGAGAATATTGTGATTGACGGTATTAAAAGCATTGGAGACATCGATAAGTACTAAACAAGTAACTTTACCGTTCTCCATACCCGCTCTAACATCGCCTGTCACTTTTAAAAGTGCTGAAACAGTGCTATGCCCTGGTCTAAATCCTGATTGGAGAGGGTTCATTAAGGAATTTCTGTGGACAAATTGAGAAAATTGCTTGTGAACGCATGCCTCCAGCACTTGACATGTGACATGAAGGGGAGGATGGAAATCGGCCTAAATTCATTAGGCTGCGTTGGGTTGGAAACTTTGGGAAGAGGCCGTACATAGGCTTTACGATATAGAACAGGAAAGGTATCGGTGTCGAGAGAGGAATTCATAATATGCGTTATGACAGGAAGTAGAGGGTCTAGAATAGTAATGATCATGCGACGACTAATATCATCACACCCCATTGCATTCGACTTAATGGAAAGAATAATCATCTTAATCTCTGCCGGTGTGACTGGTGAAAAATAGAAAGGGTCAACGTTAGGACGCGTTAAACCATTTATAAAAGCAATAGTGCTTGCTGTAAAACAACGATCCAACTTTAGAGTAGTTGTGAAATGACAATTGAGATCGTTAAGGTTTATTGAATTAAGTAGGTTTAAATGTCGCGATTTGCCGATACCTAGCGTTCCGAGGAACTTCCAGATATCAGCCAAAGATGAGGACGAAAGATTGTTAAGAATATATCGGCGTTTGGCGTTACGTATCATCTGATTACACCGATTTCTAGCAGCTTTGAAGAATTTCCACTTTTCGTCAGAGCGGTCCTTTCTGTAACTGTGATACGTACGATTTCTACGTCTCATCGCCATCCGAACACCTGCTGTCATCCAAGGGGCCGGTCGGCGCTTAAGTCTTACTTTTCTGATAGGAGCATGGACTTCGTAAGTTTTCAACAGGGTGTCGTTAAATATTTTTATCTTTTCATTAACATCGGAAACTTGGAACATTGGGTCCCAGTTGATCTCAGAGACATCCTTTTGTAGTTTGCCTAAATCCAAACGCGCGAATTAGCGCCTGTGCAAAATCTTGGGAGAGGTTTTGGGGGGCTTAAAGCGATAGGAAAGGAAGATGAGATCATGATGCGAGAAGCCAGGAGCGATATGTTGACCATGAGATGTGACGAGGGAGGGATTAGAGGTGAGGATTAGATCCAGCCATGTATCATCACCACAAGTATTTTGGTGAGTTGGTTGAAGGGGTAGAACATGTAGGCTTGCGGACTGGATAATATGAAGGAGTTTGCGGGAACGAGAGGATTCGGGTGCAAGGAGCTTGGTATTGAAATCACCCATGATGATAACACGTGCATACTCAGACCCCAAAGATTCTAAAACCTCTTCAAGTTCGGTGAAATAATCAATTGTGGGGGGACAATAAACTACACCAATAACTGCTTTTGCACGACCTGTACCAATCTCCAGAAAAATAAATTCAGAATTGGAGTCAGATTTGGAGGTAGCTAACAGTTTGTAAAAAAATGTACTACGTAAAAAGATAGCGACACCACCTCCGCCACAACAACCACAACCACAACGATCATTCCGAATTAAGGTAAAACCAGGGATAGAATAAGTGGTAGAGAGAAGATGTGGTTTTAACCAAGATTCGGAGATAAGGATAGCGTGTGCATTACGCCCGGAGAAAACATCAAGTAATTCATCATAATGTCTAGGTACACTTTGGGCGTTGATGTGACATATATTTAATAACCATGGAGATGGCTCAAGAGTTCGATGCAAAAAATCACCAAGTGTGTCAGTAGCGGAACAGAAACTTTCGTCGTTAGCAGAGTCTGCAGATTCGTCATCAGCAGAAAAAAACTCGTCGTCTACAATCATAAACTACGTAAATATAAATAAATAGATAGATATAGGATATACGTATATAAATACACAGTATTAAAACACAAAATGTGAATAAATTAATGCTAAATAATGAAAAAAGCCCAAATATCCACACCACCCGCCAGCTCACATTATTCGGTTACTAGAAAACATAAAGAAAAAAGAAGCACATATTAATTACAGATAAGCAAACAAACACAATTAATATTTGCAAAGCCAAATAACAATAAATTAATAATAGCGAGGAAAAAAAATAAATATTTTTAAAATTTTACTAGACAAACCAACATGGCTGTATGAACACAAGAACTTTTGCCTTCGTAAAGTAGTATCTTAAAGAGTACAAAACGAAAAGTCTGTCTGACATTGACAAGTGTACAAGTGACAGAACATCGGCACAAAGTAATACTTACAAAAGATTCCGTTCTCGCGAGTGTTGGTTAATACACGTGTTTATGGGATTTTGACATTTTCGGCAGTTTAGTGGTACTTTCTCCACAGTATAAGCCGTTTTATCTCTAGCAGTGGTGGTAGTAAGTGTATCCTTGTGTTGTTTTTATTGGTAAGTAATACAATAACTTCTTTTTTCCTACCCTTTCCATCGCTTGCGTCGTGAGCGATGGATAGGGTACCTCCCGACCCACCAGATCCTCCGGATGAGGAGCGATCTCCGACTCCGATGGATCAGTCTCCCCCATTGTTCACGCAAACAGGCACTAAAAGACGCCTCGACCCAGAAGCAGAGGCCGAGCCTATTAGAAAAACTCTCATTACCGAATCACAACAATCACAAGAAGCCAATCATTCTCTGTATACCCACCCCTCTCTTAATGATGCACCTAAATTGTACTCTAATTTGGATAAAGGGCCTTTTATTGTACATGTATCAATTAATGAGGCCTCCCCCTCTACTGGTTCTTCTATCCGACCTCTTATATTTGGCAGATTTCTGACAAAAAACAAAATTAAAAGTATAGTCAAAGATGGAATTAAAAAAATTGGACGCAATCGCATCTCTGTGGAATTCCGATCATATCAAGATGCCAACACATTCTCAAATAATCCCCTATTAGCCCTGAATAAATATGTGGTTACGATTCCAACCTACAATGTAACCCGTATGGGTCTGATTAAGGGAATTCCAACAGAATTAAGTATGGAAGAACTTGTGGAGTCTTTGGATGTTCCAGATGGTTGTGGTATTGTCTTAAAAGCAAGACGTCTGAACCGTAAACAAATTGTTGATGGCAAGACTTCTTGGGTTCCATCCCAATCTGTGGTCCTCACATTTAGGGGCCAATATCTACCTAAAAGAATATTTTCTTTTTACACTTCAATTCCTGTTGAAAACTACCTACTACCAACTATACAGTGCAACAACTGCTGTAGGTTTGGTCATGTTAAAGCTCAATGCCGTTCAAAGCCCAGATGTTTCCGTTGTGCCCAACCTCATGCAGGTGAAACCTGTGTGGTTCCTGAAGAGAAGGCTACATGTCTATATTGTTCCAGTAGACATTTTGCTACAAACAAGTCATGCCCAGAACACTCTAGGCAAAAATCCATTAAAATCAGCATGTCACAGGAAAATATGTCTTTTCATGAAGCCTCTCAGCTTTATCCGCAGGTAAAAAGATCCTATGCTGACTCTACTAAATCTGTTTTACCCTCTTTACCAATATTACCCGGCTCACAAAACCCAAGCATACAAAGCAAACATCCTACCTCCTACA